ACATGCGGCAAGTTTGGTTTTCCTCCTCCTCTTCCTGAAACATAGCTGCCAGTCTAGGTGACTGGAAGATTAATGTACGTCTGTGTAAGCACAGTGCCACCATGAGCTTCACATCTGTGCTGAAATAGAGGCTTGTGAACACCTGATGGCCTCGTTACTCTTCGCTCTTCATTTAGGCTTAATCACAGAGATGAGCTTGCCCTCAAAAGCAGTAGGTGCAGACAGGGGGAGGTATTTAGGATTGCAAATTGACAGGCCTCTGGGTTGCCGAAGTTTTAGAAAATTGGGGCATATCTTAACTTCTAGAGGGAGGGAAAGACTAAATCATTCTCACTTGCGGTATTTCTCAGGTGGAAAAGTCTTCTTTCAGTTACCTGGGATCCTGCATACTGAAATGGCTGCTCCCATCTCCCCTTCAGCCCTCCTTCCTGTATCTCTTCCTGCCCTGTTCATTCCAAGGAGGATCTGCGGCTCTGTACTGCCCGTGAGCTGCCTGGATGTTACGGGATCACAGGAGGAAGGCAGTGTAGCTTAGGGGGTAAGAGTGCAGACTGGGAAGCCGGCTTGCCTGTATTCAAATCCAGACTCAGCTCATGGGCACGGACAATCACTTCTCTTCTTTGTGTCCAAGTCTCTGCATCCCTTACAGACGATAATAATAATGGTAGCCACCCAGTAGGGCGCTTCTGAGGACTAAGTGAAGTTAATATACACATACTTTAGAACAGTGCCAGATATTTAGTAGCAATATATGCCTGGGTTGTCAGTTGCTACTTTTTACTGAGCTTGTACTATGTACTAAGAACGTTAACATGAACTACCTTACTTAACCTTGCAGCATCCTTACGAAGAAAGTAGTTTGAAACCGTTTTCCCAGTGATGAAACCAAGGTTAGAGAGGTTGTTGGCCGGAAGTCACTTAACTACTAAATGGCCAGTAGGGAATGCAGGCTCAGATTGTTGCAAACGGTGCGCCAAACCACCACCCTCCTGGCCTCCTGGAACGGACGCCTACAAACGCAGAGCACTGTAGTTGTGCGTGTGTGGCCTGAGACTGATGCTGTTACCCTAATATCATCTCTTTCTAGAGAAGACCTTCCATTAGGCTTACGCTGCCTTGGCTTGTGCAAGGTTCTTCATTGATTCCTTGCCCCATAACATCACTTCTTCTTTGGTGCCTTTTTAGTATGCAGCACCACTCCCTCTCCCCCAGAAGAAACCTCTTCTGTGCTGTGCAGGATAAAGCTGCGTCCAGGGTAGAAAATTATTCGGGATGTTGTTTCCCTCAGTGATTGTCTCCCTTTCAACTCAATTTCTTCTTAGTGGCTTGGTGATAATAGGGCTTCACTGCTCACATCGGGGGAGACCTGCTGTGTTGAAGAGACCATGTGAAGATACAGAGGTAGCCCATTTCCACTATTTAGCAAAATCTAGGAGCCTGTTCCTGGCATGTAGCATGGCAGCCTCGGCCTGGTTCACCTGGAAACCTGCGGGTTGGTTTTAAATGTACCTTGGGGCGCCTGGGCGACTCAGTCGGTTAAGCATCTGACTCTTGGTTTTTCAGTGTGGGTCATGATCTTGTGGTTCATGAGTTTGAGCCCTGCATCGAACTTGGGATTCTCTCTCTCTCTCTCTCTCTCTTTCTCTCTCTCTGCCCTTCCGGTGCTTGCATGCACATGCTCTTGCTCTCTCTCTCAAAATAAATAAATAAACTTAAAAAAAATAAGTGTACCTACAGTCTCTACCTGCTCTCTTAAACTATTATTCAGTCTGCATGTGTCACTGCTGTTTTGATGCATTGGCCACTGGTGTCACGATGTCTCATGCGGACCGCTGCTCTGGCCACCTGTCTTGTCTTCTGCGAGCCCCACCACTTTGTTAAAACACAGCAGGGCTTCCCACCGCTATTGGGACAGAGTCAGGATCCCTACATGCAGTGTGCCTGCCCGAGGCTTTAGCCTCATATCCCTCCTCGGTGCGCCTTCTAGCAGCTCCGTAGATGGGCTGTGTTCTCTGGCTGCATGAGGGACACTTTCCCACAAGCCTCCCTTCCATTCGGGTCTCAGCTCAGTAGGCCAGGCCGGCCTGCCCCCGTAATACTGTACCCTCTCTTCCACAGTGTTAGACTCCGTTACAGTTCCCTTTCACGTACCCACACAGGTCTTTGCACTCCCTGAAATTTGGAGTCATAGCTGATTTTGCTGATCAGTATGTGCCCAGGGCCTGGCACATCGTAGACATTCACTGGATAGCTGCTGTCAGACTGAGGGAATGGGGGCAGTGCCCATGTTTCTCTGTGGTAAGAAGGGTGGTATTTTGAGATCCCCTTTAGGGAGCCCTTCTCAGGACTCTTCATGTCCTCAGAGGGACGTCTCCACATTTCAGACCAAACAGTTCGTGGGTTTCCCTGAACTTTCAGATCTCAAGGTAATTGCTAGAGCCAGAGTCATGGTAACATGCAGACCCATTGCCAGACCTTTGCCCTCTGCACAGCGACCAGCTCCTGGTGTTTCCCATGTGAACTGTCCACTCAGACACAAGAATAGCACTGCCACATTTGTATAGAGGCTCCAGCACCAGCGAGGTGGGGATGGAGAAATCTTACACTCTGGGTTTGACCAACGATCCTCTAAGGTGTCTCTGTCCTTAAAAGCCCTTTGATAGTTAACCGTGACTTTCATGGAAGAGTTGGAAATTAACCTCGTCCGTCACCCAGAAGTCAAAGACTTCAAAATCAGAGTGACTTTTTCTTCATTCATTTGATACCGGGAAACTCTACACTTTCTGTCAACTTGTACGTTGGCTCATTTATGCTCCTCTTTGAGTTAGAGATGCAGATAAAAAATAGCTCCACCTTTATTGAGCACGTAACGTGAAAGCACGCACTATGAAAGCATATTCTCCGGATTGTCTTCCTCAGTCCTGACAGCTTCTGTGTGAGGTGTGGATGCTGTGATCCTCCCACTTTATAGATAAGAAACAGGCTTGGAGAAGCTCAATAATATGTAGGAGGTCACACAGCCGAAGTGGTGGGACTGGAATTTGAACTCAGAGCTGCTTACCTTTGAGCACGTGCTGTTAACCACCGTACTGCATTGCCTCGTCCTTCAAGTGTTCTGCATCATGTGCAGGTTATGAGCTGTTTGGCATCAAACGACATTTCCCCCATTTCCTGTCACCTACTAGCCTGTAACTCATTTATTCTTTAAGTCTCTTTAAACTGTTTTGTGTTTAAGATGTAACTAAAAAGCATGCCATACAAAGTTGCCTTAACTCTAGCCTCACAGTCATATAAAATCATATTGTTAATTAATGTATGTTTTACTTTCTTATAAAAAAAGATGTCTTCCAGTTTTATCTTAATATTTCCTTTTACTCTTTAATGACAGTAACCATAGCCTTGAGGCATACTTAGTAAAGCAACACCAGTCATAGTCCTAGCCTTGTGTGCCCTCACATCTTTTCCTTCCCCTGATATGCGGGGGGGGGGGGGGGGGGGGGGGGGGGGGGGGGGGGGGGGGGGGGGGGGGGGGGGGTAAACTTTTTTTAATGTTTATTAAAAATGTTTATTTTGAGAGAGAGCCAGAGACAAAGCATGAGCTGGGGAAAGGGAGAGAGAGAGACACAGAATCTGAAGCAGGCTCCAGGCTCTTTGCTAACAGTTCAGAGCCTGATGCGGGGCTTGAACCCACAAACTGTGAGATCATGGCCTGAGCCAAAGTCTGATGGTTAACCAACTGAGGCACCCAGGTGCCCCCATTGTCTTACAGTTTTGCAGAGCCCTGCAGGCTGCCTCTCCTTGGCTTCTGGGAAGGTTCCACCAGTCAGAGGCCCTGGTGGGAGGTGGGGGGAGGGGCTTAAGGAAGACCACCCCACCCCTTTCCGTCTCCTTCAGCAGCTGCGTCTCCTCCCAGGTGCAGACCCCACCAACAGGCCCCAGACCTTGGGCTCCATCTACCTCCTCCTTTTGTTCTTGTAGCCTCAGGGAGGGGGCTGCCTCCTGTTCTACCTGTCTCGGGCTGTATACTGCCCCCCATAGACCTTCACCACCTGTGTACCCAGTTCCCTCCATTAAATTTCCTCTGTTGTAAATAACTTGGGCCTTCTGTTCTCCAGGTTGAACATTACTGATAACTGCAGTATTCTCACATGTGATCACAATACTTATTTACAGTTTACTTTAGAGGCATGGACGGTGGGTGCTACAATTGGATTAGAATCCTCTGGTTAAAAGCATCCGAAGCCTTTGTGTTCAGTGTAGAGCAAAACCCTGGCCAAATGTGTGTCGTCCCTGCTTCTAGTTCTAGCTGAGCCTCTCGGGGAACTGAGAATCACTCAAGTCAGGGCCTCCGTTTCATGGGAAATAAAGGTTCCCCAGGGTCCTTTCAGGAGTCCCATAAGCTGGCTTACCTCCTTCCAAAGCACGATGGTTCTAGGATGCAGTTTCGGTTTCCGTGGGGACCAGTGAGTTATCTCTGAAAGTGAGATGGCCCCTGACTCTGGCCTGCCTGCTGTCCTTCTGGTGCCTGCTATTGGTCTTGAGGGCCCAGGTAACAGAACGTGGGTGAGCCAGGGCGAATCTGTCTCCCCTCTGGGAAGAACCTCAAATAGGCCTCGTGATTCTGATCTGGATCCGGGCAGCTGGTCTTCATTTGGGCACAGCACACTTACCGAACATACAGTACAGGAGTAAAATTTACTGCTCAGCTGTCCTGACTGTGCTTAACAATGTTTCAAGATGATGTTTCCTATATTCACCTCAAATAGAAAACGAACAGGCAGAATATACAGATGGCACTTGTCTGATATAATATACTTTCTCTTTCATTTTAAGCACAACCTTCTTGTATTAACACCATTTTTTTTTTTAAAAGGTACCTTATCCTGCGTGTGTGTGACTGTGTGTGTCTGTGTCTGTGTGTCGGTCTTTGGGGCCAGATTCTCTGGGTAATGCAAATACCTTTAATTTACTAAACTTCATCTCCCCTTTCCCCACCCCAGCCCTTTCTTTTCAGAAGATACATTTAGACAATCACCATTCACCTCTAATTCGAAAGACCTGCTGTCCGGTGAGTCTGTGCTTCACGGAAGAATAGCAGCACCAGGTATGGAAACATTGTTGACTTTGCTTCTACCGTTGGTTGCTTAAAACTCCTTTTCTGAAGTGTGTAAATTTTCAGATACTTTCAGCTTATGTGCTTAAGTTTTTGTATGAAGCTAGATTTTTTAAAAAAGAGGAGAAACTCAATTTAAACACCCACAAAAGTTTATTAAAATCAAGGGCCGGCAGTAATCAAGCACTTCTTTTTTGCTTTAGAGGCTCATTGTTCTTTACCTGCTGATGTTTCATTGATATAGCAAATTTCTTTTTCTTTGAAAGAGCTAAGTATAACCTGAAAATAATTTGCTTTACACGCTGTTAGTATTTCAGGCAGACGGCCAGGAAGATATAGGAGGGCAGTGGCGAGAACTAATCGCCAGCAGGGAAGGTCGTGACCCTAGTGGGGTGTGGGTGGCCACAAAGACCACTTTGGTTTCCATGGAAACAGCACAGCTCATTAAGACAATCTCGGCATGCGGATTCCGCCTCTCTTCTTAATCAGAGTATCTTCATATATCCTTCTAATGTTCCTTTTTGCAATCTCAGCGTCAGTACATAATTTATTGTCCACTCTTCCTTTGTCATTTCTCCTTTCCAGAGGTGAAGGCAAGATGCGTTTGCTGTCACGTTCCCAATTGCATGGCCATCCCTCGGGGCTTGCGTGTGTGTTCTCAGAGTTATTATGAGATGAGAACATTTGAGAACCACTGCACTGTAACCCATACTCTGTTCCTTTCCCCCCTCCAACCCCAGTGCAACAGTCAGGAAGCTTCCTGTTGTCATTACCTTAGCTCCAGCAATTTGAGAGAATTTCAGAAGCTCTCCATGGCCCCTGCACCCATTCATTTGTCCAGGAGAGTGTGGGAGACCAAGGCTACGAGTGTTCAGGAGGGCTTGCAGCAGGGTCATTGACCAGGAACCCCTACACGAATAAAGTCCAAGTGTCTTCCACCCACCCAGGGAGCCTGGTGTCACAGGTGACTGGAGGTCTGAGTATTTTGAAAGAACCAAGGAGCACCTCAGGAAATACTGGCTTGGGGTATCACAGGTCACTGGAAGTGGTTTGTGACAAACACTGGGGGAGGGGGACGCAACTCTTTGTCACTTTTTAGTCTGACACATCCATTTCTTCTCATCCCCAAAGAGTCCAGGTACCTACATGCGTTTAAGTTTGCAGGGCTTTTCGAATGGCACAGGTAACACGCTTACACAACAACACATTACATAAAACCTGGTTCTAGAGGTGGAAAGAAATTTTGCTTAGTTGATGTCTTCATTCTCAAACAGGGACTATTTGAACTCCTGTTTACTTCCCACAGTGTCATTTTGAATAGCCATCTCCCTGGTCCCCAAATTATCACCCTGCTGTTAAGTTGATGGATTGTGACTTTCTAATGTCAAAATAACTGCCTAGAAACTGCCTGTCAGAGTGCGGTGACCCACACAGCCAGCATCCCGTGATGTATATCCAAACCCTGCATTGCTGGCCTAATACTGTTTGGCTTGACTATATTTTAAGAAGGTTTTATTGGTCAAGTTACAGCTCGACCTCAAAGAGTGATATCAGTGTATGTTTCACTGCATGTAGAAGACGTTTGTGTGGTTTGCTGGATAGACATATTACAAATTAGATAAATTCACTTAAAAAGTTAACTTTCATTTTAGGTGGGAAGTCAATATCAAAGGGGGTTTTAAAATGTAAATCTACCATTCTGAGAGAGAGTCCGTCTATACTTCCAAGAGCTTTTATGTAGGCAGGGGACAAGCACAATGAGTATATTTACATTTTGCTAGAACAGACAACTAAAAAGGGACTTTTTTTTTTAATTAAACAAGGTGAAAATGCTTTAGAAATGTAGTCAAGTTAGGAAAGTTAAAAATGAGAAGGACAACCTTGTAATCACAAGGTTCCCATAACTTGAAGACAAGTTTTGTGAGAAGAGCCTCAGTAATTTGGACTAACTGCGGAGGAGACCGATCTGAGTTAACAGAAGATTGCAGCATGGAGGCTTTTCAAGAAAACGTTTCTTTTGAGTCTGGATCGCGATAAATGGCCATCATATTCCGACTACAGCTCCCCAGTCCCTTTCCCACAATTCTGAAATCCAAAAAGCTCTACCAACTACAATTTTCTTTTTTTTTTTTAAATATTTTTATTTATTTCTAGGAGAGAGAGAGAGAGAGAGACAGCGTGAGCAGAGGAGGGTCAGAGAGAGAGGGAGATACAGACTCTGAAATAGGCTCCAGGCTCTGAGCTGGCAGTCAGCACAGAGCCCGACGCGGGGCTCAAACCCACGAACCACGAGATCATGACCTAAGCGAAAGTCGGACGCTTAACCGACTAAGCCACCCAGGCGCCCCTCTTGTTGAGTTTTTTCATACAGTGGTCTCCCTTGTAAGTTCTGGGTTTTGTGACTGACTTAGAAAGACCTTTCCCTTCTGAATATTTTTTAATCACTTTTTTCCTCCTTTGACCCCAGGTTTAAAAAATAAATACGTAAGGGGCGCCCGGGTNCCACCCAGGCGCCCCATCAACTACAATTTTCTTAATAAGTTACTTGGTGGCAAAATCTAATGGGAGGCGATGGATAGCCCTTATGTACTGCCAAAGGTGAAATTCATACATTTTGCTACAGAAATATCAACGTGCTCGACTGTGAAGGCCTACTGGAGTGTTATGTAAAAATATGTCTTAGACATCATATTATCATTCCGAAATAAGAAAAAGTATGAGTCCCAAATACACGAGAGCCCAGGGGTCTCAGCTAGATGAGTCCAGTACTCTGCTCGATGCAGTGCTGGAAGCAAAGGCATTAAAGGGACAATTGAGGATCTTAAGATTCGAGGGTATAAGAGGCAAGGATTCTTACAGAAAATTTCAGAAGACCAACTGGGCAGCAGATTGCTGAATCATTGGAGATGTGGCAAGAAAGAGGAGTCCAGTGGGGATGTTCTAACGCTAAGGGAGCATTATCAATGAGGGCCTGGGTTTAAAGAGAAAAGGAAGAGGTTGGTAGGAGAGGCAGACAAAGAGCCAGTTCATTGGTTTGGGAGACTGGTTAGGTTTGCTGTAAGGTTGAATAGGGAGGAATAGTGTCTTGGCAGAAGTGGGGAAACCAAGAAGGAGACAGGTGGCTTTAGTGACTAGGCAAAAATTAATTTGTTGTTACTGTATACATAAAGGCCTCAGAGTTCTTAGGAATATTCTCTTCAGTAGTTTACATGTTACCATTACAATAGTATTTCTATCCTTTATTTACTTAGCAAACGTCTTCTTTCCAGAGATAATGCAAAGATAAATATCAGCCCAAAGAATTGTCTCCGATTCCCAATTAGGAGAGACTGTAATTAATGAGATTTAACATGTCCAATTTCAATCTAAGAAATCTCTTGCAAATGCTGAAGACCCTTAGCTTTCTTATCATCCCCAAAGAGTCCAGGTACCTACATGCTCTTTTACGTTTGCAGGGCCTTTCAAACACCACAGTAACATGCTTATATATTTCTGTACTTTCTATCAATGGGATGAAATTATCTTCTAAACACCTTTGGAGTAAGCCCGTGGGGCAGGGGAGGTGCGCTACTCTCGACCACCCGTTAAGGCCCTATAGCTCGGCACCAAAGGGATCCACCCGGCGTGTTGTGATTGTGTTTCAGGCCCGTGGAGAATGAAGCAAGCAGCGTGGGGGCTGGCAGAGTGGGGAGAGGTGGGTAGGACTGTGGACTGTGAAGACATCGAGAATAGCACAGTTAACTAGGCATTTGCCTTCGGCAGATGGTGTCTGAGACACACAGCTGCCGCCATCCCAGAGAAACAGAATAAACACAGAGCTTCAGGGTGTCCTGGCCTTCGTCGTTGCCACTATTTCTAGACTGACTTTCCCGAGAACCAAAGAATGTTCATGAGCCAAGACCTAACATTTTCACTTGCTGTGAATGTCTTGGACAGAGCGAACACCAGGAATCCTTAATAAAATGATGAGTTAAAAGCTCCTGTCACCTTCAGCTGGAAGGATACAGGGACAAAATATCCTTAAAGCCATGAATAGATTACTGAGTGCACCCTAGGCGGTGGTGTTGCTGATGGTGATTTTACAAAAGGAATAAAAGAGCTTTCCTATAATGGGGGAGATAGAAATTACAGACCATGTATAATTTAATGTACTTTGTCTAATTTGTTGTTGTCTCACTTTGTAGAAGATTTACACTAATAGAAGAAAGAGTGTGAGATCAGGTGTTTTTCAGGGCACCAAGGGCCGTTCTGTATAAGGAGTGGATGCATTACCATTGTACCTACAGCTATTTACAATTCCCCATCGTCTTTCCGTAAGCAAAGACTATCAAGAGAAGAATTTCTCTCTCAGCACTGCTTTTAAACAATACGGAGCTTCAATTCTTGTGTTATTATGACTTTGAAGGCACAGTATGTTTGCTCTGTATTAAGCCAAAAAACAAAAACACAACCAGAGCGGGTGTGAAGGGAAGTGCGGGTCTCTGTGGAATTCCTTCGCAGTGTTTGGAGTCACCGAGGCTTCTGTTTGCGGTTTCAGATGGAGCTTAGAGTTAGACAGTGCAAAACATCTCAACAATTATGTTTGTAAGCCCTACCCCCATTATTTGCCAGAGCCCCCGAAAAAGAAAACAGGACTTTTTGTTGTCGTTGTTTGTAGCACATACACAAGATGTAAAGAACATGCGGAAAGTTTGGTTCATTCCAGGACTTGGTATGCCAATCAGGATCTGCTGTGAAGTTAAAAAGACTGGTTTGGAGTGGTCTGCCTTGTCACCGGGCCAATTCTCGATCTATTTTCCTCTCTCTGTTCTGCCCATCAATCTAATATAAGTGGTACCATCTCGTATACTTCACTGAAATCTAAATAGATGATGCCTCACATTGAGGGCCACCCACAGTGGACTGTCAGCCTGCCATGCTACTGGCCAGATAGCAATGACCTCATTCAGACCGTTGGCTTGAAAGATGTGCATGTCACCTTCCTTTACATT